AAGTCTGATGAGTCAAGTCCTAAAGCTGTTTTTAAAGGTTCTGCATAATCGAATCCGAAGAAAATGTGACCTAGACATAAGTGAACAGCAAATGGGATTTCGCGAGGGACTGGGGACGAGAGCCCTGTTTGCGCTATCGGTGCTTTTGCAGAAGTGCAGTGATCAACGAAAGGAGGTACACCTATGCTTCATACACTACACGAAGGCATTCGACTGCGTCAACCACAGGGAATTGCTGAGCATCCTTGAAAGAAGAGGCCTGGATACCCAAGACCTGAAAATTATCCAAAAGCTATACGAGCAACAAGTAGCGACACTAAAACTACAGGACACTGAAACAACAGCAATACCTATCAAGCGTGGAGTTAGGCAAGGATGCGTATTGAGCCCTATGCTCTTCAATATGTACTCCGAACTAATATTTCTAAATGCGCTTGAGGGATCAGAAGACGGCATAAAAGTGAATGGCAGACTGATTAACAACATGAAATATGCTGATGATACCGTCGTTATTGCAGGCACCACTGAGGGCCTGCAAAGACTTCTTGATAGACTGTCCTCGGTGGGCGACTCAATGGATCTCAGGATAAATACAAGCAAAACAAAAGTCATGGTAATAAATAGAGATGCCAGACAGGCAACGGAGATAGTCGTAGGTGGGACACCAATAGCAAGAGTCTCAAAGTTTAGATATTTGGGCAGTTGGATTAGTGAAGACCTAAACCCAGACATTGAGATCAGAGCTCGAATTGAGATGGCTAGATCAAACTTCCTAAAATTGCGGAACCTGCTGTGCGATAAACGTCTCAACATCCATATAAAAGACAACTTCGTCAAGTGCTACGTACTTTCCACACTTCTCTACGGGGTTGAGTCGTGGACACTCAAAGTAAACGCAATGAATAAGTTGGAAGCATTTTAGATGTGGGTATATCGCAGAATGCTGATAATACCATGGACTGTCTCGAATGAACGAGTTCTAAACCAAATGAACAAGGACCGAGAACTCCTCGACATAATAAAAAAGAGAAAAGCAGCCTATTTGGGCCATATCATGAGACATAGCAAGTATGAATTCCTTCAGCTCATCATCGAGGGTAAAATTGAGGGAAAGCGCGGACCCGGACGACGGCAATGCTCCTGGCTGAAGAACATCAGAGATTGGACAGCCCTGGACTCACATACTTTGCTGAGAAGAGCGAAAAATAGAGAGGAGTTTGCCATGGTTGTTGCCGATCTTCACTTAATGGAGAAGGCACTTTAAGAAGAATCAGAAGAAACAATTTTTGTAGATCAGTGAATTTTTTACAAAACCTAGGTTGCGCGTACCATAATGATTTTTTGTTAACAAGTTATAAAATTCATAAGAAAAAAGAAATCTGCCTTAAAATAATCAAACCTCAAAGTTTAATAACTTTCGAACAGTGAGGTTTGCAAAAAAAGTAAGAGACCTTTTTTGTAGAGAATTCAATTTCCTACAAATATGTGAGACAAGATATTTTTTCCAAATAGTAAATACCGAGATATGAATTTTTCTTTCTAATAATAAGGAAAAAATAAAAAAATGAAAGGCGGAGGAACTTCCTATTAAAATTAAGAGCTCATACTTGGAGAGAATTTTCTACCAACCTTTTTTCAGAGTATAAAGTGAACAAAAAAATAGTCGATTTTTTTTACCCACCCTAGTGTCGGGGTTGCATATATTTATGCTTTCTTGTACAAATAAATGCAAAACATAAAATCCTCTCTTGGGCCAATTGTTTTGCTCTTGTCCACGTACTTTCATTTCTTTGTAATATGTTTTCTACTATTTTGTTCATCACACCTTCCAGTTCCAATATATTTGATACCATTTAAACTTTTATTTACGTAATCGAGAGCGCAATTTTTAAATTCATGGTTGCCAGCGATGGACATATTCGGCACTGGGCTGACTTACTGGAATTCAGGTTGTAGCTCTGCTGTAAAAAATGTCAAGTTGCCACATTTATTTATTTATTTCCTAATATTGTCATTCGTTGTGACACTTTAATTTTGAATTACGAGTTTTTGGTTTAAATGAATTGTGTTGTGTTATTTTAAGTTTAAAAATGTTTACTAGCAAACGTTGCAGTCGAACATTGTTCTTTTTAGAATCTCTTTTAGTGCGAAGTGTACAAGATAGCCGTAAAAAACTTCATTTCAACTTTATTAGAATATTTTGAAGTAAAGAAGTAGTAATGGCTCTTTATGTCTCTTAAGTTCTGTTAAGAAGGTGAGTTTTGTTGATGTAAATAATAACTGTTTATATATTTATAATTACTTTATTTTTGTTTCTTAAAATATTTTGATTAAAAGAAAATATATAAAAGTAAGCAACGCTGTGCCGGTCAAGCTTAAAAAAGGTACGCGCACACTGACCAACGCCGCACTCGCGGCACGCGCCGCACGAATCGCCCTTTTTTTTTTCTTGTCGAGCACACTGAGCCGTACCGAACGTGCCGCACGCGCCGCATTTTTCGCTATTTTGTTTCTTTTTGCCCCTTTTTGCCCCTTTGCAAGATCAATCTGCATTTGATTTTATTGAAGCATTTGTATTACTAAGTAGTAAGTTAGAATGTATTACTTACTCATTCCAGCAATACAAAAAACGAAATTTTTAATATATTAAATCAGCAAATCCCTGCTTTTAAAAACGAATTAACAATTCCGTGAATTTAAGTTTGGGGATGATTTTCTGATGCCGTTTATCCTTGTTAATACACGCTAACGGTATATTTAGCCCTAAATTGGATTAAGTGGATTGTAAACCGTCCTGTTTGGCTGTTTGTCTTATTGTAGAGGTGGATGTGGGACACAAGGTTTTCATGCTTTTATAATTGGTCTGTTATTGTGTAAAAGAATTGTTACATTTAGATTATCTATTTTATTATAATATATTTCAATTGAATTTTATTTACACACACACACATTCATTTAACCATATATTAAACATATATTTCACATATTTTGTTTTCGAATCTTGTTTTTTGATAGAGTACGCACACGTTTCGAAAACAAAGGCATTAAATATTTTGTGAGCTATGTTATTATAAATATTTAGTTACTCGTCAATAACAGAGTCTTCTATTTTCTATTCAGAGATAGTGACTATTTGCACATTGCACATAAAATATGGTAAAAATTACTGATTATTTAAGTTTATCCTATAAAACATACTAGGTAATATTTGACAAAGTATTATATTATTATTTATTCATAATACAATGTGGGGTTATTTTGGAAAACAGCCTTTTATGTTACACTGAACAAATAGTAAAAACATAAAGTTATCTTACACGTGCATAAAAATAAAAATACTTATAAAAAAAAGACGTGAAACGACAATAAAATACACGAGAGAAGAAATGAAAACAACAGAATAAACCCAAGTAGCATTTGGACGTTATCTAACGTTGGGTATACGTCGCGTTCAATAAACCCGACGTCGGGTACCAACGTCGGTTCGACCGCCTGACGACCCTTATTTGCACCTAAATGGGTAATACAGATTCGGGTCGCCTCGACGTCGGTATCTGACCTAATAGGGAATGTAATTTTACCATTTACCAACGTCATATTACGTTGGATTTTAGTTACTTAAAATTCGTCGCTAAGCACTTACGTTACGTTTGGTTTCATATTCGCTACCAAGAATACAACCTAACCAAACTACCTAATTACAAATGGATTCATAATCACTCCTCGAATAGAACTATAAGTGCCTATCTAATTGCATATTATAATAATTCTGAATCATTAAGCCAGACATCAGTTTTGTAAACGGAAGTCACTTTTTTGATATATCTGATTAAAATACTCCGGAAAACAACGAGCGCCTTCAAAAGTAGGTAAATTTATGAAATAGAAATATCTATAAAAAAGTAACTCGCAAAATATTTTTTTTTATTTTCTAGCTGGTTTAATCATAAAACTGTACTGTGGTTCCCCCCAAACTCAACCTTATCAGTATTATTCTACTAGAAATCGGAATGTGAATATAAATTTTAAAAATAAAAAACGATTTTAAAATGGCTGACAATCGGATACCTGTTAAGAATGGCGGATTTCTGTGTCCGACTTGATATGAACTACCAATATACCAATTCCGACCGGGTCGCGATTTTACTAAATATATACTATTACAGCACAAGACACGCCCCCAAATACGTCATTGGAAAATATAATCTATCTCAGCACATTCCTCCAAAATCTAAACGTTTGCAGTACAACAATACGTCGTTGGAAAATTTAATTTTATGTTCATTTCACGTGTGTCAGGCTGTGTGGAGATGGTTGTGGGATGCAAAAAATCACATAGATATTAAAGAAAGAAAAAAACTTATGATGGAATTCCGTTATATACTTTATGCACAAAGTGAAGAAGAAGCAGAGGAATTATTTGGTACCTTATGTGAAAAATGCAAATACCCAAATTTTATCAACTATCTTAAACATTTGTGGGAAAGAAGGAACGAGTGGTGTCACTTTTATAGAAAATCATTGTGTACTAAAGGACACAACACAAACAACTTTGTTGAAGCATCTACCAGAGTACTGAAAGATATTATACTGGAAAGATGTAAATCCTTTAATGCTGTGGTATTAGATTTTATAACCAATATTCTGGAATGTTACCATAAAAGACGTCTGATATCATTTGCTAGCAACAGAAAAACGAAAATTAATTTAAACTACTTAAAATTTAAAGATAAAATTAGAAATCTAACAGTTAAGAAAATAGATAATGAAACTTTTTTAGTTTCTTCAGCTGAAGACAAAAATATGCATTATACTGTTCTAACAAATTCCGCCTTATGCAATTGCGCTAGTGGAACAGGAGGGGCCTTTTGCAAACATTTATGTGCTGTAGAAAATTCGTTTAGCATCAATATTTTATCGAGTCCCCAGTTAACGGAAAATGACCGACAAATAATTGTTTATCTAGCCACTGGTAAAAAAACTGTTCATTTGTTAAAAACATGATCGAAAATGACGATTCGGTTGCATTTGGGGAATGCAATACCACTTTAAACGCAAGTAATCAAACCCAATCGGATTCTATAACTGATGTTGAAAATATTGAAAGTAAACCTTGTAAGTTAATCTAAAAGTTATAATATTGTTACTTGCTTAATACTTTTTGTTTTAGGTAGCGAAGAACATAAAAATGTAGTGGAAAGTCTGAAAAGGGAGTTTAGCCGTATTGCAGATTTAGCAAAACATGAGAGTTGTAATACAGAGTTAATAAAAAAGTTTGTTGGAAGCCTAAGAGCAATTAACACAGGTAGTCAGTTGGATTCATTCCTAGCTAGCAAGCAGTGTATCAAACGAAAAACAAAATTAATAAAAGTCCAGCCTACAGCACGCAGTAGAAGAAAGATACAAAATGCTAAAATGGGGGGACAGAGAATTCAAAGTGGGCGCCCTTCCAGAAAAAGAAAACACAACCTGTCCCTTAATATCATGTCTAATCTTCCTAATTCCAAAATTCATTAGATGTTGCTGTGTGTTGCTTTGTGCTGTTTTATTTTGCAGATATTAGATATAGCTCCAATTAAAAGAGTATCTATTAAAATTCAATTTATTCCATTTCAACCGATTTGTATGACTCAGCCACGTTGTTGTGCTGCAAACGTTTAGATTTTGGAGGAATGTGCTGAGCTAGATTATATTTTCCAATGACGTATTTGGGGGCGTGTCTTGTGCTGTAATAGTATATATTTAGTAAAATCGCGACCGGGTCTCCAACATTAGTCGTCTCACACGACCGAAGTCATCAAACCGGACGACCGGTAATCGTATTATGACGTATATAATTCCAACGTACGCCACGTAACCTCACTTTGCGTATCAGTGATTGGTGGATTTGTGCAACTATATTTTAGTTTTTGTTTTCTCTTTAAAACAATGGGCAGCCACTTTTTTAAGATAGTATATACAAAATTTAAAAGAATTGGAACCAGTACCTCACATGTAGGAGGAGGATGGGGTCTGCTGGTTTCCTAAGCTAAAAAATGAAATTAAGATGCACCAGTGTAATGCAGCATCTCTTCGGGGATAAAAAGCATTCGTGGGTGGAGGAAAGACATCACTACTACTATTATTATTTTGCAAAAGCCTCGACCTCTTTCTGTAAAATGTAGATGAATGTCTAAATGCCTTTTTAGTGTTTTTTAGGCATAATAAAAAAAAATAAGTTTGTTTACCCAAACTTTTTATTAGGTTATGTTCATGATGTTTATTAGGCCGCAAATGCTACTTAATGGGTTGTATTTACGGACGTAAATAGAGATACGTAAATTAGGTTAAAAATATGAACATAGAATACAACAAAATATAATTGGACGTTACTTTAGGGATTATCAATGAGACGTCTCCTATTCGGACAACGGGTAGACGTCGGACTAGTTCAAGTATAGGTACGTCGTGCAAGCCAACGTTGGAACGACGTTGGGAAATTAATAAAAATGGTACGTTGTTATTTTGTACGTCGACAGATCGTTGGATTTACCGACTCGGATCCAACGACGTCACTTTTAATAGGAAAGCGACGTCACCAGTCGTATTACCAGCGCCCGACCTAAATTTGCACAAAGTCTGACGTCGCTTCAGGTCAGATTTAGTTCGAAGTCAGATAGATGCTACTTGGGAATATTTAATGAATATACCTAGCGATTGATTACGAATACATTGCCTATAATATTTTACATATTTTTACCTTTCAAGGTGGACTCTGACGACTCATGTATAACTCGGCAACATGACAAGTATAGTCTGTCCAACGACAAGATCCTTGACAGTGGTAGATGTGTCTGTGATTTTAATTTCAAACTAGTTTATTTTATTGTACAAAGAAATAAGTTGGTACAACTGGAACGCATAGCAGGAAATTAATTAATGAATAATAACACTTACCAAATTTTATACCTTAAAGGTTGATTAATTAACTTTAATCTTAATTTTTTAAACCAGTACCTTTTGACATTATATTTCCGCAGTACTAAAATCCATTATTTACCTATCTTGTGATGTCGATATTTTACAGCTACTCCAGCCAGCAGTATATGTTTGGTCTTGTAGCATATCCCGACATGCACTTATCTACGACGAGATGGTATACAAACTTTATTGATGGTAAGTTTATTGGTGTATAAGACTTTCTGCTTGGACAGCGAGTATTAACTATAAACTGTTAATTACAGTTAACTTTCCCTGGATTTTTCCTCCACTTGACTTCAAAAGACACAAAACATACGTAATAACACGAATCAAAATGCATCATCTTCCAAAACGCAGATATTTGACATAAGTTGACACAAAATTATAACCTATAATTTAGCAAGACTTTGACTCATAAAATAATAAATACAAGAAGAAGTGTCAAGTCAATGTTAAATTATGGAAACAGTGTGGCTGCCTGGGTAACTAATTTTCAGATATGGCGGCTGGGACATTTGACACAATTTGACATGACATAGACATGACAATTTCAATTTTATGAAATTTATTTCCGTTTCCGGTTTTTTAATGGCGGGCTGATCAGGAAGTTTAAATGAGGGTTAATATACTTTTTTACTCTTTCTAGTAGTAAATAATACAACAAAATTACTCAAAAATATTTATTTGGAATTTAGAACAATGTAAATCAACACAATAAAGAGCTATAATCCAATAAACTACTGTATCAATATCAAATATTTAAATAATATCAGAGATGCTGTGTTAAAGTGAATTAGTAAAGTAACAGTGCATTGACTTACAGAAACTTGAAGATAAATAAATGTTTTCACAGCTTCACGGGCATAAAACTTAATAACTGGAAGCTGGAAAAAGGCAACCGGAACCCACACAAAACCTGAAATCAAAAAAAATATGTAAAAAACATAAATATAGGTACATAAAACTTTTGTGAATTAAATCAAACAGGACTTGAATGAAAATAAAATGAATAAAAAATATGATACATATACATCTAATACCTCATTTGTATTTTAAAAATAATCTACATACATAGATTTATAGCATTATTGCTATGAAAATACATAATAGGTACCTATGTGATATGTAATTACGCATTTCTGTTCATCTTGTAGAAAATTAATGTAGGCTAATAATAGTTCAATAATCATAATTTACCTTGTATAACTTGCTTTCAATTGCTCAAAATCACCGATCTGTCTTTAAAGTAGAGATACTGAAAAATCCTTGGCAAAGAATATCCCAAGATCCTTGGGTTTAAAGCTAAAAAAATATAAAAACAGTTAATATATTACCTATTTTTACATATAATATGGCCCATACCTACTACACGCAGAAACGTCGATTTCATCATTTTCTTCATGTAATTAATATCATATATACTTTATTAAAGTGTTAACAAGGAACTTTATATCCAAAAACATCTTTGTACTTATAAATTTCAGCCGAAATATCAGAAACAAACTTCAATCAAATCTAAACGGCAAAAATTAAAATGGCGCCCGACCTTGCCAGAGGCCTCGGGGAGCTGACGCTAACTACACAGACAAAGACAAAAGAACAGGACGCCGACGTGCATAAAAATGTTCCGTAGCAGAAATTGACAGAAATCATATAGAAATATTCAGATTTTTGTCTAGGACAGTCTAGAAGGCCATGCTTTCTGCCTGGGTAGAACCGCGCCACAACTGTTTCCAATTTTCCGGTTTACTGTCACCCCCCTGCTTTGACTAGCCTCAAAAATCTAAAGGCGAGTTCATACGCATCGGCGCCCGTGTGTCGTTCATCGTTCCGTCAAACCAATAAAATTGAAATATGATCTGTCATTTTTGAAATAAACCAATAAAACTGGTTAAAAACAACAAGAGACGACGCATGGCGGATTTATATTTAAACCCATCCATAGTTAACTTTACGATATTGGAAACTTTTTTTAGTAAAATAAATAGATTGGTATGAGACGTCATCTGCTTTTCTTCTGTCATCGTCTGTCGAAATCTTACCTGAGAAAAAAACAGAGTATACACCAAAATTTGCATACTTGGCATGTATACTAACTTTGTAAACAACATTTGTTTGTAAAAAACTCGGCGTTCACGCTGCGCGACGAATAACACATAATTGCACAAGAAAACCCGAGAGGAAACAATACACACAACATGGCAAGTATATCCCAATAACAAATGTTTGTCAAGTACACGAGTCATCAGAGTCCGCCTTAATATAAAAACAACTTTTTTGCATAGATGAACGTTGGTTATGAAAGAAATATTAAATTTGTACTTTATTTTTTTTGAAGTTCTAATCACTATTTTTAAGAACATATTCGTCTCTTCCTTTGGTCTCTTCGTTTCAAACATATCTACTTTTACAATGAAATTTTTCGTTTTTAAGTAAATATAAGTAGAAAATTTTAAAAAATGCTATGTGTATTAAATGCATATATTAAAGGGTATTAAATGCATACTGAACATATTAACAAAATATGATTGAAGAAACATTTAGTTTTACATTTCTTTTTGGTAGATATCATCATTTTATAAGTTTAAAATAAGCTATAATTTGTCATCAGGTATATATTATACTTTCGTTCTACTATTTTTGTTATAGAGACTTAAGCTAGATATGGATTAAAAGTAAAAGAAAGATTGAAGTGGAGACTGATGAAGATAAATGATCGAATTAATTCAGTTTGTTGGTGTAGCATAACGTCGTTTTATCAAAAAAGAAATACTTTTTCCTAAACCTAAATAAAAAAGTATATATTTTTTAGTTATTATATATTTTACATACTTCTCAAACAATCTTTGAAACAAAATTTATGGAAAACGTGACTATAAAGTATAAATACATATATCAAGAACAATAATATGGGGGGTACAAATTCTGTATTTACCTAGTGTATACAAGGTTGTTCACCACATACGACACGGAGTATTGTAGCGATTAGATTTTTACAAATTGTAAATTTTGAGTTCATTGAAGAATTATTAGAGCTACAATTTAAAAATATTTTTACAAAATACGGAGTGTCCCAAATAAGTAAAAATTATTATAATTGTATTTTTTTAAATGGAACACCCTGTATATTATTCTATTTTTAGATTCTACGATTGAAATAAAGGTAAATTTCATTAAGGTTTATCACACTTAAACCTCACCGGGAAATATTTTCAATTTTATGAAATTGCAGTAAAAATTTTAAGGCTTGGTTTCTCCAAGGGTGTCGAAGTTTTTAATACTAAATATTTACTGAAGTTTATTTATTGATCAGATATTGTTTTGCAATAATAACCATACTACTGCCTTATACAGAGTGTCTAAAAGTTTATATTAAATAATTACTAGCTTTAAACGGCAATAAGTTGTTTAATTTAAATAGAACACCCTGTATATTTTACGAGAATCAAATGCACAATTCAATTGTCTATCAAATTGTATTATACCATTTTTTTCTTACCTCTTCAAGTTTTCGTAGAAAATGCATTTTCTTATAATTTAGACCTAATTTGTCACTATACCTATGAAATATTGACATTTTAGATTACAGGCAGTCCTCGATTTACGTCGTTTCGTGTTACGTCGTTTCGAGTTACGTCGAACAAATTTTTGTCACTATTCCTCAAAGTTACGTCCCACTGTTTCGAGGTACGTCATTTTTTGAAAAGAACGATCCAAATTTTAAAAGAAGCTTGGACATAAACAATAAAATTTTAGCAACATACAAGCA